GGTAATGCACAGTTGAGATAATGTAATATAAATTCTAGTGCACAAATCATCATGGTTTCATTAAACAACACTTGAAAATAAAGACAGCATATAGTGGAAGCAATGCAAGATCTAAGTTGGGGGGGGTGAACATTGACACAAGAGGGAAAGGGATTTATGCGCAGAAATTAGAGTTGATCTGATTCAGCAGGGAATCATGATAAGAAAGGGAGAAGTAAGTAGCCAGTATAGAACTGAGAGATACAGAGATTAAAAGTGATTGTGAAATCAAAGGAAAGGGATGTAGGGGTGGGGAACTTGTGGCCTTGAGGCCACATGTGGTCCCCTAGGTCCTCAAGTGCAGCCCTTTGGCTGAATCTAAACTTCACAGAACAAATCCCCTTCATAAAAGGATTTGTTCTGTAAAACCTGGACTCAGTCAAAAGGCCACACTGAAGGACTTAGAAGGCCACATGTGGCCTCGAGGCTGCAGGTTCCCCACCCCTAGAATAGGGTTTACAAGGCATAAGCAAATTTGAAATGATGAAAGATTATGATTAGATAAAGGAATTTTGGAGTTCATGAACAGGGAAGTAGAACAATTGTGGATAATGGCAAGATCAAAGGTATAACAATTTGTGTGTGTGTGTGGCTGAAGTACAGTGGCTGAACAGATCATGAGAAAAGGGTCTCATGGCCAAATATGTTTGGGAAACACAGATTCAGACCATACACTGGACTAGTATAACAAAGAAGGAAACTGAAGGGAAAAGAATTATTTAAAACCACCCAGCTAGTCAGTGACAGACTGGCATTTGCACTTTCTGATGGCCAGGCTCATGCTTCATCTCAGTTCTTTAGCCTTTTCTTGTGTACTAGCTTGACAATCTATCACCTATTTTCTTTCTCCTATTAGGCAAATTCTGGTTCATTCTAATGTTAACACTCTCAAAAACCACACACCTAACATTTACCTTTGCCTACCTTTGTAAAACAAGAATTCACTGGACATAAACAATCATCTGGGTTGGAGGTATGCATCATACCATTCAAAGTTACTAAGGGCCAGAAACAGGTAAGCTTTCCAGAACTCAAAGGTTTTAGCTGGAGTACCACAAACACATACACCCAATTCTTTTAGCGAAGGCTAACATTTTCACTTCCTACAAATGAACTGATTCTTTCAATTCACCAAGGAAATATTCACTAAATTGAGGTCCACTCTCTAGCAAATTGGTAACTACTTAAAAGACAAGACATGACTCTTGTCACTATATCAACCCTGAATAATTCATGCTTGTGACAAAAAAAAAAACAATAGCTAAGATGATTCAGAATTCATTCACATTATATCTCACTTGGAGATGTATAATACAATCTTTTGAGTAGTAGATTTACCTTCATATTTGTGTTCTGCTAAGTGTCATATTAAAATGAAATTTGCACGTTCATCTAAGGGAATGTCAGCTGTAGATTTAAAATATTCACTATGAATAGTCTGAAAAATGAAAAGTATGTAACTTCCATAGATTACTTCTACATGGAGCAGGGCATATGTAATCCACATAAAGCTACCTGAGAGTTGACTATATAAAGAAAGAGGAAGATATTAATTATTTATAGCTAGCCTAGTTATCTTACAGGAGAACTCTGAAGTGAGTCAAAACGGAAGATTTACTAGTCAGTAAACAAGCATTTATTAAGCACTTGCTATGTGCCAGGAGCCGGGCTAATCAAGCTGGGAAAAGAGTTCCTATGTTCAAGGATTCAACATTCTCAAGGGAGAAAACAACACATACATGTATATGTTTATGTGTATGTACATGTAAATGAATATGTATATATAAGCTACACCTGGAGATGGTACTACCAGCTGGGGAGCTGAGAAAAGTCAAGAAGCATGAGCTTTCAAGGTGACATTTCAGCTGAATTTTGAAGGAAGGCAGGGACTCTGAAAGGAAAGGGAGAGAAAGGAAGGCATTCTTTCCAATGCAAAGGCAAGGAGGCAGGAGATAAAGTATTATGTCTGAGGAATGGCAAATAGTCCATTAATGCTGGACTTAAGAGTGTGGGAGGGGAGTAGTGAAGTCTAGAAGAGGTTGTGATTGTGAAGATTGTGAAGACATTTTAAAGCCAAACAGAAGAGTTTATATTTGATTCTAAGAACTACTGGGGTATATTGAATAAGGAAGGTGTGTGACATAGACAAATCTATACCCTAGGAAAATCATTTTGGCAGATATGTAGAGGACTGACTGGAGTATGAAGAGACTTGAGGCAGGGAGACCAATTAGGAGGTTCTTTCAACAGACAAGGTGCAAAATAATGAAGGTCTTCATAAAGGTGGTAGTTGTGAGTGGAGAAAAGGGGACATAATATAAGAGATGTGGAAAATGAAATGATATTTGGAGTATGTGAGAATTAGCAGTTAAGGATAACACCAAGTTTCAAAGTTGGGTGACTAGAAGGATGATCGTGCTCTCAAAAATAAAACAGTTCAGAAGAAAGGAAAGACTATCTTTTCATAATGAGTTCTGTTTTGGGTATGATGGGTATGAGATGTCTTGGGGACATCCAGTATGAAATTTCCAATAGATAGCTGGTGATGTGGGACTAGAACTCAAGAAAAAGACTAGAGTCAATATGTAGATCCAGGGGTATCCACATAGAGATGATAATTTAACTTGGGTGACAGGAAGTGATTACTAAGTGAGAGACTATAAAGAGAAGATGACCCAAAGACAGAGTGTTTGGGTGTACCATCAGTTAATGGGTATGGCATGAAGATGCATCAAAAGAGATTGAGGAGTGGGCAAATATGTAGGAAGACATCAAAGAAGAAAAAAAATGTCAGGAAAACCCAGGAAAAAGAAGAGTATTTAGGAGGAGAAAGTGGACAACAGTGTCAAATACTTTTAAGAGGTAAAGAATCATGGGGATTGAGAAAAGGCCATTAGATATGGCAACTGATCATTGATATTTTTGGAGAGAACACTTTCATTTGAATGGTGATAGGAAAAGTCAGACTGAAGGTTTAAAAAAAAGTAAAGAGAAAAAATGGAGACAGCATATAGAGATGGATTTTTGAAGGAATTTAGCTGAGAAAGGGAGGAAAGACAGAGGATCATAGCTAGTTGAGGACATCTAACAAGGGTAATTTTAAGGATGGGGAATACTTATTGACAGCAATGAATTAGTATGTATTGAATGAATTAGTACATAGTGGGGAACTGAAGATTTGAGAGAGAGTGGGGATGAGAATATAAACAATATTCTGGAGAAGATGGGAGGGGATAGGATTAATGATACATGCAGAAGGGATGGCTTTGTCAAGAATAAGGACCCTCATCACTAGAGACTAAAGAAAGAGATTATAGATGATGATGTGAGAGAGATCTTAGATGAGGAGGGGGTGACTGAAGAGGTATAGTAAGAGCTTTGAGGAAATAAGAGACAATTTGACATAGCCAGTGTGGTCACTGGAATAAAGAAAATCAGGGAGGAGCACAAGGAAAACCCTACTGCAATATGGGCCCAGGTGGGATAGGTATGAGAAATCTACACTGGACCAACTAAACAAGGTTTCATGACTTCCTCTAAGTATGTCTACATTCAGCAGCATGTCAGTAGGAACAAAAGAGGTAAATGATGACAGCAATGCAAAGCTGTAGCTCAGCAATGCAATAAGCATACAGGAGCAAGGGATTTGAGAGTAGAGGACATCATCTAGTTGAACTTGTTCATCAAGTGACTAAGATGTAGGAGGAAAGATAATATAGCTAAAGCTAGTGTGATGGCCTGGGAAAGTACTGAAAGATTGAGGGTTTGAAGGTTACTATGAAGAGGAAAAAAAGACTCAGAAGTAATAAGGCATAGGGATAGATGGAATAATAAAAAAGATCACTAATACACCAAAATCAATATATCACTGATAGATAATGGAATTTTGGAGTTCCTGATCACGGAAATGGAAAACTAATGGGCAAGAACAAGGGGATGACCATCCCTGTCAGCAGCTGAGGTAGAGTAGAGGAGTAGATCTTGAGAGTAAAGTAGATGAAGGATTTTTAAGTTAGGGTATTTGAACATCAACAAGAATGCTGAAGGCCCCTAGAATGAGGGAAGGAATTGAGATGGAGAGGGAGACTGTGAGCCATGCACTGAACTCATTGATAAAGTAGTGAAAGTGGTCAAGGATGTCAGTAAATACAGGCTACCAGGATCCAAACTGATAAACTTGAAAAGAACAAATCTCAAAGGATGAGAAATTAATTAACGAGTGATGGAGGCAACTGGAGCACCGGAAGAGGCAATGGGGAGGAAGAAGTGTTGGGACTCCCCCATTGGGACCAGTGAGAGTCAGAGGGTATGAAAAGAAGATGTAACCAGTAATCGTTATAATGGCCACGGCTGCAATGTCATTGATGGGGAGGCAAATCTTAGCAAGGTCCAGAAACGGGAAAGTGCAAGAGTGGAAGTGGTTGAAATGAAAGGATGTTGATTGTAGAGTAGGAGTTCCTGAGGGCATAATGAAAGGGGGAAGAACATCTGGAACCAGGCATCAGTGGGCTAAATCTAAGATAGACAGGAACGAGAGACTGAAAAGGTGATGTTGGGGAAATGGGATCATGCTTCAGCAGTTTATATCACTGGCATAAGAAGAGAAAGAAGAAGTATGCATTTGTTAAGCACTGTGGGATGTGTGCAGGCAAAGTACCCGTGGAGAGTAGGAGCTCTTCTAATGAAGACAAGTGATATTGCAAAGTTCAAAGTCTTGCATAGGCCCTAGTCTTGTGGCACGTGGGCAACACCACTTTAACCAAGGGCCACAGGAAGCTTGGCCTCAGGTAGGAGGTGTTGATATTGAGGTAGGTAACTGCTGCTGTCACCAGGAGGTTTCCAGATTACTCGTTAGCAGGGCAATGTTGCGCTGTCCTGAGGATATCAAAAAAACAAAAACAAAAACAAAAACAAAAACAGAAAAGTCTCAATTTTCACACATGTCAAAGCTAACAATTTACCTTTGCCATCTTTTCTGCCAATTGTAGACGTCCATCAAGTTCCCTTCTGATCTGGGCTGCTTGCTCATCTGCATTGTCCAGCTTATAGGGGAAAAACACATACATTGAATAGATTAAATATAAATATATAGTTAGCTATTTATATTTGGAATGCTGAACTTAGAGTCACAGGATCTGAGTTCAAACCATCCCTGCTTTACTACTTATTAGCTGTTTGATTCTGAAGTAAGTCATTGAGCCTCTATGGACCTCAATTCCCCTCCTTGTACAACAAGAGGGTGGGATTAGATAATCTCTAGGGTGTAAATTTATGATCCTATGATACTATAAACAAGATGTGCTCATTCTATTGTTCCAGTGATAAGTAGCCAAGATCTATCCAATTGAAAAACAAAGAAAAACAATTTTGATTAGGCTATCAAGATTCCCAACTACTTGAGGAGAAGACAGTAATAGAGTTGTTTAAACATGTTCATCTGATTGAGTCTCTCCTCAATTTTAATGTTTGGTTTTGTACATACGCATATGTACATATTTGATTATGCATGCACATAAGTGAATCAGCCCAGAGAATTAGGTACTCCCTTACAATTGTGTCTCTATCTGTCATTACTTTCACCAACACTCTGGATTCCAAAACTTCTGAATATTCAAAGTGATCATCAACAGGATTTGGGTCAGGATCACAATTGGCCTTTTGGGGGACTCTTTCCTAGAATTACAGATTCCTAAAATTCTGGGTTTCGGTGGCTTTGGGCAGAATGACATCCCTAGGCAACAATTTGACCTTTCCTCCCCTAACAGACATACATAATTTCTGGTGTGATAAAGTGGAAAGAGCAATGGATTTGGGGTCAGAGGACCTGGGCTAAAAAATGAACTATATGACTTATTATCTGTGTGACCTTAGATAAAACATGACTTCTATATCTACAATAAAACTGGAGGCTTCTAAAGGAGTCTTGTGTTCCTAAATTATTATTGTGTGATGCCTGACAGGACTTTTCTATCTTTTTAAGTGGCCCTGGCCTGATACAGATTCCTCAGAGTAACTGAAGGCTAGAGTAGATTTCTAAAGTTGTTCTCAAATTCTTAAATTCCAGAAGTTACGGGTTTCAAAAACCCAGGTGAGAGATACCAATGCTATCAACTCTGGTTATCAAATTTCTAGCTACCCTGAAACAGATAATGACACTTTTACTGGCTGTACAAAGACTCATACTCTTCCATTAGGAAATGCTAAATTGTTATTCAGAGTACTCATGCCATTCTTCTAATCTATAAGAACAACAGCTGGGAAAGGTTTCAGAAATGAGATTTAAAAAAATTAATCCTCCTAAAGTTCAGATCTGACTACATCACTTCCCTTTTCAATATCGTCCAATGGCTCCCTATCATCTCCAGGATCAAAGTCAAAATCTCTTGTTTAGCAATCAGAGTCCTTCCCAAAATGGTGACCTCTTCCTACCTTCCAGTTTTTTTTTTTTACAACTTACTCCTTCCAGTAATACTGAGCTCTTTCCAGTTCTTGAAAAAAGAAAATTCACCATTAGTCTCCAGGCATTTTTCTTGGTATTTTATGTCTGAAATACACTCATTCTAGACCTTCACCTCCTGGTTCACTTTTCTTAAATTCCAATCAAAATTCCACCTTCTTTGAAAAGCCTTTTTTGAACTCCCTTAATGCGAGGATCTTCCCCTCTATTGATAACCTCTGATTTCTCCTGTATAAATCTTCAAATTTTCAAATATTCTCTCAGTGCTTGCAATCCCTGCTGTCAGGAAATCCTTTTATTATATTTAATTCCCTCACTGTGTGGTTTAATCCAATTTCTTCTTATACTAAACATGGATGAGATGGAGCACTTCATCATCTTTTAATTAATATTGATTTGGAAAGTTATTAAGTAATCCCTATATTTATTTCTCTTCCATTAGTTAAATAGTTCCATTCTTTAACATTTCCTGATAACACTAGTTCTATTTTCCATCCATTTAACAATCTCCATGGCCCTCTTCTGAACTTCCATGATCTGGTTATAGTATGATCACAGGAATAGGCAACACTGTTTTATTTAGTAAGGGCACTATTGAATATATGTTTAAAAATTAAGTTAGCACACACGAAGGCTCTCCATTTTCAAAAGCATAATTGTTTAACTATATTACATTAAAAAGAAAGTACTTGGTGTCTATATATAATAGTCATTCCAAACAATTTAGCCCTATGACACCCCTAGATACCTTTTTTTTTAAAACTAAAGCTGGAAAGCAGTTTTATTGAATGCAAACTGTAAACAAACAATTCAGGGCACATCTATGTGGTAGAGTGAATTAGAGCACTGGATTTGAGTCAACAAAACCTGAGATTAAACCTTGTCAGTCACTTACTAGCTGTCTGATCCTGAGAAAGTTACTTAACCTTTGTGTACCACAGTTTCCTCATCTGTCAAACAGCGATAATGATAGCACCTACCACCCAAAGTGGTTATGAGGATAAAAGCAGATAATACTTGTAAAGTACTTAGCAAACTTTAAAGCCTATGTAAACACTAGCTATAATTATCATCATCATTACTAAAAAATTCTCTATTACAGCTGAAATAACTTATAAAATAGATACTCCTTTAACTTCACTTTGCCTAAAAAAAGATAGAGTGATGCTAAATTTCATTCTCAAAAGTCAGCATCTTCATGTGGAAAATGTGTGTAACAAATAATGGCTTATTAGATATGTATGAAAGAATTACAAATTCTTAAGATAAAAGGAAAATATTTCAGAAGTGCAAAGATCCCTGCAACCACAATAACGCATCAAGGCATGACTTTAATGATTATGTGTACAATTAACGATACTGAACATCTTAAACTTTTTGCCTAACGTCTGATAAATATTTATTTTTCAAGTAGGAAAAAAGGACATTTTCAGTTAAGAAAGTTGTAGTTTTTCCAAAGCTTTACAAAAACACAACACTTAACATTTCTTAAATATTTATAAGTTCAGAATAGCAGCTTGTACTTAAACTTCAGTAGAATAATTTGAATTTAATTGGGGGTTTAAAAGAATTTTCTTTCACTGGAGAGGTTGTTACTATTTTCTAAAGTATAAAAGCAATAACTAATATCGCCTGAAAAACACAGTTAAAGAGCAAGGAACACTACTCTATTAAAATGCCTTCTAGTCTTTGATTCATCAAAATGATTTTCTCAAGGATTAAAAGTTACTAACTTTTATAAGACTGGCAAGGATGACAAAAATGGGAAATAAGAATTGTTGTAGAGGTGTGAGAAGACAGGTCCCTTAATGCACTACTGCTCGATCTGTGAATTGATCCAAATATTTTGGAAAGCAATTTGGAACTATACTGCAAAAGGAAAAAAAACTGCACATACCCACATATCTAATAATGATACTATTAGGAATCTACCCCACAACAGATCAAAAAAGAAAGGAAAAGACTCATCTGGACTAAAATATTTATAGCAGCACTCCTTTATGAGGGAAAGAACTTGAAACAAAGTAGGTGACCTTTACCTGGGGAATGGCATAATAAATTACAGTGTATGATTTTGAAGAAATATTATTGTATCATAAGAAATGACAAAAAGATGGATTCAGAGAAGACTGGGAAAATGCCTGGGAACAGAAGAACCAACAGAATAATTTATACAATAATGCCATTCATTGTAAAGGAAAACAACTTGGAAACACTTAAGAACTGTGATCAACACAATGACCACTTTTTCAAAAAAAATTATTTTCAGCTGCAAATTCTCTCTCTCTCAATTCCCTCTCCCATCCATTGATAAGGCATATCTATCTATCTACCTATCTCTCTCTCTCTCTCTCTCTCTCTCTCTCTCTCTCTCTCTCTCTCTCTCTCTCTCTCATATCTCTATATCTATCTATCTATCTATGAATGAAGTGATGTGAAACATTTCCACACTAGCCTTGTGGCAAAAGGGGAAAAAAGCAAGAAAAAATAAAGTAAAAGAAAACATGCTCCATTCTATACTCAGTTCATTTTTCTCTTTTCTGGAGGTAGATAATATTTTTCTTCATGAATCCTTTGAAATTGTCACGGATCACTGTACTGTTCAGAGTAGCTGTCTTCCACAGTTGATGATTGATACATTATTGCTGTTACTGTGTACAGTGTCCTACTTCTGCTCATTTCACTGTGCATCAACTCATATAAATCTTCCCAGGTTTTTCTGAAACTTATCATCACTTTATCACTTATTCCATCACAACTACATGCCACAATTTGTTCAGTAATTCCCTAAATGATGGACATCTCCTCCATTTCCAGTTCTTTGCCACCACAAAGAGCTGCTATAAAATAATTTTGTACAAATAGGTTCTTTTCCTTTTTCTTTGATCTCTTTGGGGTACAGACTTAGTAGCGGTATTGCTAGATCAAAAAGTATGCACAGTTTTATAGCCCTGCAGTCATAGTTCCAAATTGTTATCCAGAATTGCTGGACCAATCCACAGTTCCAACAACATTGGCTTGTCATACCTATTTTTCCACATCTCCTCCAGCATTTGTCATTTTCCTATTCTGTTATGTTGGCCAATCTGATGGGTATGAGGTGGTACTTCAGACTAGTTTTAATGTGCACTTCTCTAATTTAGAGTACTTTTTCATATGACTAGTGATAGCTTTCATTTCTTTTTCCAAAAACTTTCATATCTTTTGACTATTGGGAAATGTCTCTTGCTGTCATAAATTTGGCCCAGTTCCCCATATATTTGAAAAATGAGACTTTTATCAGAGAAACTTGGTGTAAAATTTAGTTCCCAGTTTCCTGCTTCCCCTCTAATTTTGATTGCATTGGTTTTCTTTGTGATCAATGAACAATTTTGAGTTAAGAAAACTGATGAGGAATCACACTTCTGACCTCTTGACAGAGAGGTGATTGACTAGAAGTCCAGAATGAGACTTATATTTTCAGACACAACCAATGTATGCATTTGTTTTTTCATTCCTATGTTTATTTCACAGTGAAGTGGTAGGGCTTTTAGTTTCTTTGGGGGAAGAATTATAGAGGGGTGTAAGAATGTGATAGTGGATCCT